GTGGGCGACCCCGCCCGCTCCTATCTTGAGCAGGACAGTGTTCCAGGTCCTGCCAGGTGCTCACACCCCTGCGCACCTGCTCTACCCACATTCCCTCGTCGATCGTATCCTAATTCCCATCCTCATGGGTGGCAACTCCTGTACGGCTTCATGAGGTGACACAAGCTATGCAACTTCTGTCGCCTGACAAATTCCAGGCAGAAGGACAAAATCTCTGAAAAATCTGAATTTTCATTGCTAGCTTATGTTACAACCTCCCTTTCTGTATAATCAGAATATCAAAAATGTTCTGAGCAACCATCAGCTTACAACTGGATTGCCTTCACTTCATAAGATGGCTACCTGGCCGTGGCAGGAACGAGCTGTCCCAGGGCATCAAAACTCGTGGGAAGCTTCCCCTGTCTTTTGAGACAAAAAGCAAACCTCAGATAAGACTCCCAGGGCATAAGGATTCATGGGAAGTCTCCTAACGTTGTTTTAACAGGTGTTGGTTAATGCATGACTGTATAACTTCCTCTTAATTTACCCTTTTCTTAAACAATCACTAACTACTCTCTGCTAGCCTTAAATTAACCTTTTCCTAAAACAATCCCTAACTACTCTCTGCTAACCTTAAGTTAGCCATTAGTATCTCTTTAGACAATCACTGACGACTCTGCTAACACAATATATTCCTTCTCCAAGATCCCTAACAATCCTTTGCTAACAAAAAACTCACCCTTTCCCTGACCCCTTTTTCTTTGAGTTAGTTAAACATCCATTCCAGTTAAACAGTGTTCCAGGTCCTGCAGGAACATTGTTACATGAATGTTATCACAAACACATGAATGCGATCACAAATGTAAATAATTTAGCATACCATAAAGTGTCAGGAAAGGAATGCATTGTTCCCCTCTTCCTTGAGAAGTTAATGGTGAATTCTTATTAATTTATCTCACCTTTTGCATTATTGTCATTAACTACTTGCTACACAGTGTAAAAAGACCTGCTGAAATGAGCAGGAAGACTTGCACCCCAACATCGACTCCCATGTCTTCCTCGCTCCAGCTTCCCTTCCTCCCTTTTGAGAATCTCCACACACCGACACCCATTTTGCAGCTTCAAAGATCCTGCCCTGCTGTGTGTTGAGGCTGGACCCCAACAATGAGCCACGGACTGGAGTCACAGTTGACCCCTCTTTCTCTCACACCCAACCTCCAGTCCACGAAGAAGTTCCGGAAGTTCATCTTAAAAATATATGCAGGATCTGGCCCTCCCTGGTGGCGCAGCGGGTTAAAGCACAGCACTGAGAATCTAAAGCCGCTTCCGCATGAGTTCGATTCTCGCCTGCCCCGGAGGTGACCACATGGCGAGGCAGACCTCTCCTGACCCGCCCGCTGCTCCCCTCAGCAGTGTACTTCGTGGATCTGCCTGTTCTGCTCCCCACTCTGTCTCTGGTGAAGCCTCTCGCCGCCCCTGAGCCTCTGGCCTGTACCCCAGTTCTGTATGCACAAATAAATAAATCTTAAAAAAAAGTATATATATATATATATGCAGGATCTGATAAATTCTAGCACCCCCACTCAGGATCCTAGTATGACCCATTATCAACTTTTCCCTGCATTAATGCAGCAGATTTACTGATGTCTTTGCTCCCACTCTTATCTCCTTTACCCCAGAGGTTAGAGCAGTATTTCTGAGTTAGAACATTGGAGATCTGTTCCGCGTCCTCCACACACATAGCTCCCAACACACTCTGAATAAGAGTCCTATCCCTTAAAGTAGACTGTGGGCCCACAGGGTCGGCTGCCCCTGTCTCCACCTTCTATGGTTTCACCTCCTGCTCTCATGCCTGCTTGCTCCACTCCCGCCACGCTGGCCTTTGCACTGTTCCTCAAATATGCCAGCAGACTCCTGCCACAAGGCCTTTGCACTGGCTGTTTTCTGCTCCAGAAAGCTTTGTACCCTGATATCTGTGAGACTCATCCCCTCAACTTCTTCATAATTGCACTAAAATGTCATTCTCTCAATGAGGACTACTTTGATTGCGCTATTGCACACAATGACACATTCGTCACTGATTGCATGCAGTTGCTTTACCCTGCTCTGATTTGTCTTTATTTCTAGAGCATTTATCATCTTTGAATATACTCGATAATTTATTCATTTTGTTTATTGTTGTCCTCCCCCTGCCCCACTACAATATAAGCTATACAAAAGCAAGGATCTTTGCCTCTTTTCTTCACTGACAGATCCCAAGTGCCTAGGACAATGCTTGGCACTGAATTGATGCTCAATAAATATTTTAGGTGAGTGAATGAAAAGACGGGTTCTGACCAGGACATGCCACTTTGGCATATGCATTATGTTTAAGTAAAGGCACTTAATCTGAAGACTCAGGTTGAAATGTTTGCCTCTCTATTAAATATAAAGATGAATTCATACAGGAGGTTTTGTCCAAAATGAGGGGGCAAATACTAATTATTGAACACCTGCTCTTCCTACTGTCTTCTCCCCTCTGATGCCCCAGGCCTCTGTCCCATTCCTTGGCTCGAGAAAGCATATGTACTTGCTTTCACCTCCAGTCTTTGGATCTCATATATCTATGTGAGTTTCCCAAATAAAAAAAAAAAATTTGCTTTACCTTCACTAATCTTTCATGTCATATTAATTATTAGCCCAGTCAAAGTACCTAAACGCATAGAAGGGAAATTTGTCTCTCTAGACAATGCAGTTTTCTATTGAAATACAACTTTCCCCTACTCTGCTAGTCTTCCCCCACTCTTGCGTCCTATCTCTATGAATCATACTCAAACACAGCTTTTACTGCTGTGCTTGACTTTTAACTTTTAGAGAAATCATCAGTGAGTTCATATGGAGAAATCATCAGTGAGTCCCACATCAATGGATGGCTTTCCACATCAATTATAAACTTTCCCAGTCTTTCAAGATTCAAGATGCTCATTAAGCCAGCGTCACTCCTTTTTACAGCCATCTTTTATTTCAGCAGGTCTGATCCCTATACACCAAGCGAAACCTGGTATCCTCAGTCATCCATACCTTTATTCCATTGGCTCATGCATGTCAAGCTTTTTGTCTTTGTTTTTTTCTCTGAAGGCCACAAATGGGTACCGTCATGTTCTTTAACCACATCTAATGCTACATCCATTAGATCTTGATCATGTATTCATTCAAACATTTTATGGAGATCTTCTAAATGGATCAGCCACAAACAGACTAGACCTACTGAATATCTAGATGAAAGCCACGGCCCCAAGGGTGTCTGGGCTGAAAGGATAATGAGGATGTAAGTAGTAAGCACGTTAACTGTTTTGGAACAAAGGGAGGAAACATAACCCAGATGGGCAATGTCAGCAAATGTTTTCAGGTGGACATGACATCAGACCTCTCTTGGTCAAGCGAAGGGGACAGGAGGAAGTAGAGCACATGCACATACAACTGTAAGAACTGTCTATTCTAATCTCTTTACAATCACATCTTGCTAGATACATCTACTAGTAATGTACTTGAGGCCAGGGGCACTTTTGGGTTATGTTTCACTCCCAGTTACTAACAGGATAACATAGTAAGCATTTTGAAAACTTATGTTTTGAGGGATGATTGAATTTTACATCCTAAGTACCCAAACATTATTTGGGGGCTGTGAATATTTTTTCTCTCTTATCCCATAAGCCATATAAAAATGTAAATGGTGTGGTGCTAGAAACGAAGAGAAAAGCCAGTGAGAGCATGCCAGCATGAGTTATCACTGTCCGGACAATGAAATGAAGGAAACGGTTCCTTCTGAAGCTCAGGGTCCTCTTCTCCACACGCAGGTGGGGGGACAGGGTTAGCATTTTTTGTTAGCATTTTTTGCAGTGGGAAAAGGCAGCCTGAGCTCCTTGAAAAGCAGTTATAAAATGAATAAAAGGCTTTCTGTCTTTCAAGGGACTAACAGAAGGATTTTGGTGAGTTCTCCAAACGTATAATGCACTTTAACTATCTAAAGGAGGGCGACACAGTGGATCTACCATCCCCAATTCGCCCAGCCTTCTGGAAAGGACAGTTGTACCTCTGCAGGGTCTGCCCTTGGAGTGAAGCAGATTCTCTCCTGCGACTCCCACCAAAGTGGACACGTTGCACACTTCTGTGGCTTGCCCGGCACCCCCCACCCCCTGCCCCTTTCTTCACGCCCTCAGACGCCTCCTTCCTACCCCACTAAGATGAGGCTCAGACGCTGGTGTAACATTAAAGATGGTTTTCGTTCCCTCTTTGTGTTTGTGTTTCCCAGGTTCTCAGAGCTTCACGTAATCATCATCATAATCCAAAGCAAAACAATAAAAATTTTTAAACGCTTTAAAAAAGAGAAAAGCTCCTGAAGGAAGTTCCAGAAAAAAAACCGAACATACGGACAGAAATAAAAATAACTCAAGCGAGCGTCTTCCCGCCCCAGCTTGACCTCTACCTTAATGCCACGTGTCCAGCAACCTCGACCCTCAGCCAGCCCTAGGGACTGGGTGCGGTGCCATTGCCCAAGTTCCTAGAGCCACGCCCCCAGACCCGGATCCGGGCTCGCCCCTCCCAGCCCCTGTAACTTCGACTCCTCCCCTTCCGAGCGCTGCCCAATGAGAGCTCCCCTCTGTGCCCGACACGCCCCCGACACGCCCCCGAGCTCCAGCCTAGCGCCCAACCCAGTGCAGCCGGCTGCGCTGGCGCCCCGCCCCCGAGTGTCCGCCCCGCCCACCAGGCGCACGCTCGCTCGCCCGCGCCCGAGCACGTCTGCGCGCGCTGGCTCGTCCCCAGAGACCCCGCCCACAGGCCCCTGCCCATTCGGAACTTTGGCACTGACCCCGCCTTCTAGGCGCGTTCCCGTCACCCCTAGCCCCGCCCCCCGGCGCCTACTCCCTGGGCTCCGTGTTAGCAACCCCGCCCCCAGGCGCGCGCCCACCGCCCCGATAGCCCCGCCCCCAGGCGCGCACCCGCCCGCCCGGCGCCACGTGCTCGCAAGAGGGCGGCGCTGGGGGCCGAGCTGACAAGATGTTCTTGCTGCCTCTTCCGGCTGCCGGGCGAGTTGCCGTCCAACGTCTGTGCGCGAAGCGTTTCTGGGGACAGGGTCGCGCTGCCGCGGACATGACGAAGGTGAGAGAGAGATCGCGGCTCGCCCCGGGCCGCCGGGGGGATCCCACCCGCGGGCCGCAGGGAGAGGGGTGATCGAGGCGTTGCTGCCCTGCGGGGGTGCGCTGGTTGGAAGGGTGCAGTCCTCTGGGGCTCTGCCCGGCGGGGTCCCCAACGGGGACTCTGGCCAAGAGCGAGTTCGCCTGCAGCCGCAGCTTCCCAAGCGCCCGCTCCGTGCCAAGCCCGAGGTCACCATGGCGCGGGCAGCCCCCAGGGGACGCTCAGCTCGGGCAGAGGGGGTGCCCTCGGCTATTGGCCAGCTCTGGCCGGGCGCCCCCCAACACCTCCACGGCTACCGGGGAAGGCGGGGAAACGGGTCCTCCGGGAGGAAGCCTGAAAGGGTTTCTAGAGAAAAATAATGTCTCTCTAGGGACAAGGGCTTTGCAGAGAGACCCATCTCTTAGTGAAGTTAAAAGGAGGATGTGTCTCCGCCTCAAGCAGATGCCCCAGATTGCGAAGGTCACTGTTGGGATGCGAGGGTCTGGAAAGGGGGAAGAGTGCAAGCTTGAGAGTCGCAAGTGGGGACCAGAAAGATGTGACTGGCCCTGGCGAGGAATCTTCTAGATAGGGCTTGGCCTCCTGTCTGTCCCAAACGGCTGGAGGGACCCGACACCCGTCCCGCTCGTTCCCATACTGGGAATCAGTGACATCAGCGCCCTGGTGTGGGCATCAGTGCCCTGGTGTGGGCAGCCCCAGAGAGAGAACTGGGGAGCTGCCCGTGCCAAGGAAGCCGGTTGGTGGGAAAACAGGGAGGACTGAGTCCCAGGGTGATGTTGGGGAGAGGCTGGTCTACTGCACAGCCAAGTTTCAGTTTCCTCCTTTGGGTTTCAGTTTCTCTGAGCGAAGAATACATTATTTGCTTTGTCTCAGAGAGCTGCCCTAGGCAGAACATATTTTTGAAGTCAAATGTCTGTGCGAAGGCAGTTAGTGATCCCCAGGGGTGTTGCCTTACTCCAGGTGTTGGGGACCCCAGGTTTCACAGCGGCATGTGTGCAGTGAGGGTGCCCCTTTCTCTCTCTGTCAAACCCATAGTGGACCAGACTCCTTACTGGCAGGGACTGCTCTGGCCTTCCTGGCTTGGCAGTCTAGACTCTGAGATTTGCAGTGAAGTAGTCGGGAGGGAAAAGTTCCGCTCTCCTGGGTGCTGTGGCTCACCTAACAAGTCAGGCGACCCGAGAAAGGCGAACTGGAGCAAAGCCACGAATTGTACTTGATACTTTAACGTGTCTATGGGAGTCCTCTGAAGGACAGTGAAGACACAGAGAAGCCTTTACGTTAGGCTGCGAATTTAGAGACCGTTGAGAACGGAATGAGTAAGTGTGGGGAAAGTGAGGGGCTTTGACTACCGGTAGCAAGTTGTGAGGCTCCTACCTAGGAATTACATGAGGGAAACTACCGGGGAAAGGTCGTGTTGGTGGGTTGCCCAGGTTCATTTCAGAGTCAGCTCCCGGCCTCTGGGGAGAAGCACCCCTTTCTCCTGGGAAATTCCCTGTCCAGCTGTGGGGTAGCGAGGTCCTGCATCTCCTGTTCACAGCTGGCTGAAGCTCAAGACCGCTTTCTCCCCTCTTCACTTGAAAGTGAAGGGCACCTTCCAGGAGGGAGCAGGACCCACACTTGCTTCCCCGGAACCTGAACCATTAGGCTGGTGCCCAGCGCCTGCTCCCTCGCTGACTGATTCTTTGTTTTGGGGGGACATGACCTGAGTGGCATCTTTTGCTCCTTCTGAAATGTGGGAATCCCTGAAGGATCTAGTCTAATGATAGTCACCACTTCCACTTGTTCTCAGGGCCTTGTTTTAGGGATCTACAGCAAAGAAAAAGAAAATGATGTGCCACAGTTTACCAGCGCAGGAGAGAACTTTGATAAATTGGTGTCTGGGAAGCTGAGGCAAGTTCTGAGCATGTAAGTATTCGCCCGTGGGTTCCAGCTTTTTCAAATCCCCGAAAGAGAATGTTTTTCTGTGTTTTATCTTTGGTCTTCTTACTGGAAGTGAAAGTATGGGTGCAGGTGCCCTTTGGTCCTCCGGGCGGGTGGGGCCCAGTTCTGAGACCTCAGGCCATTTTCGCTGAATCTCCCGTTGTAGGAGACTGAGCCAAGGGATCTGGAAAGTCACAGGCTCTCCGGCCGCTTCCCGCCCAAGTTCCTTTCTCCCACACTCAGCCCACCCTCGCCTTCCCGCCAGCTTCTCTGCCTCCTGAGACTCCAGAGGAGTCTGGACTGGCTCGGAATGGCTGGGGGGCTGCTTCTCCCACTGCCAGCGTCTGGCGGGGTTCTCATTTTTTTTTTTCCCTCTGGAGACTCACTCAGCTTCTAATCCAGTAAATCTGGACGGGGTCTGTGATCCTGACCACTCGTCAGTTAGTCAGTCTAGAGAAGGTCTGTTGATTCAGGAGAGCTTTAGAGAGCCCAGAGCTGACCTGCTGTCCCCATGGGTAACATAAGCTCCTGCAACTACACATTACTGGGATTATAGACAACTGCTTCCAGTCTATAGATATAGTCTAATGATATTAATTATGGAATCACTGGATAACCGAATTTGCAGCCCTCTCATTACCGGTCCTTCACCAGGAAGGAGACAGACTTCTCAAGTGCCTTAATTAAGCCCTTCAGGCAAAAGCTGCTGTGTGAGAGGACAGAACAGCCTGGCCTTCTCCCGATAAGTACCAGCCGCAGCACCGGGGCACCCAGGCCCCAGCTGGCATGGCGGCGGCCCTGTTTGTTTGGCAGTTGCCCAGCATCCCATCTGTGGCCGCCTCCCAGCCCAGCAGCCCCCCAAGCTGGGCACACCGCCCTGGAAAGATCGGAGTTGAGGTCAGCCTTCCTCCAGCGCCAGACATTACCATCCGCGGTGTCCCTTTCCATGGTCACCTTCAAATAAATCTGTATTAGATCTAATCTGGAAATCTGAGGACGTTTCGGAGCTAGAATTAGAAGTACCGTCGGCCTCTGAAAATCTTGTGTGAGACAGGTCTGCCTCTTGGTCAAAACAAACGCAGCAAGTTCACGAGGCAGGTAGCTTACACTGTAATAACGCTAAGGGCAAGTAAATGTCACCTTTCGAGAGAACAGGGCAGGCCTAAGAGGGATTTGTGGGTTTGGGGGGTTTCTTTCCAGTTTTTTTTTTTTTTTTTTGACATGTCATTTTTTGTTATTCAGGTTTGGCTTGCGACGCTATACATGATTTAGAGGTGTAGGGTAACTCTTCCGATGTATGTCACCACGCCACCCCCACCATCCTGGTACCCATAAGCCTCCACCACAGCCCAGTGGGCCCCCTCCGCCTTTCATGTCTTCCTCCTCACTCCACCTCCTCCCCCACCTCAGATCTGCAGTCAGATTTCTAGGGTTTGTTGACTCAGTTTTGTCTGTTTGTTGTTCCTCTCAAACTGTACTTTTAAAAACAATTGTTTCCGCTTGTTTCAGATCTGGACCACCTCTGAAGGCAGGCAAAACGCGGACCTTTTATGGGCTGCATGAGGTATGAGATGAAGATGAGGGTCATTTGGCAAACACCTACTCAGTGAGCCCCTCCGACGAGCCGAGTGCCGTGCAGCGTAGTCTGGCAGGAAATCCTGTGTCCAGTCACCACTCCGTGTCACCCGAGCATGAAGCCACTTGGTGGCTTCAGATCGTACAGAGGCGGACGCTGTCGGACGCCACCGCAACCCTGGCTCTGCAGGCTTGCTGTGCTGTGCTGTCCCGCATGCACCCTGGCTCAGCTTCGTCCTCTGCTCAGGGGAGACTGACTTACAGGATTAGCCTCACTCTGTCTTTTGAACACAGTTGTAAGATCTGGCAGCGAGGGCTTCGGAACAAAACGAAACATCTCAGTGAGTTTTGGCGTGCCTAGAGCTTAGAATACTTGTGGGTGAGAGTTTCCAGCTGGAACTGGGTGCTTTAGAAACGCCAGCTGAGTGGTTGCTGAGTGATTCCGTGTGTTTGCGCAACAGGACTTCCCCACCGTGGTGGTGGTCGGCCTCGGCAAGAAGGCGGCTGGAGTGGATGACGAGGAAAACTGGCATGAAGGCAAAGAGAACATCCGGGTCGCCGTGGCAGGTGATTGCTCTGTTCACCTTTAATACTGGGCAGGACTCTTCAGGTACCAGGCGAAGATGAGCTCTCGGCCCCTCCCTTCCTCTCATCACCACCAGTCCGCCCACAGCCTCGTGGAAGTCAGGCACCCCGCACAGGCTCCGTGTCCCCAAAAGTGCTTGGCCGGCTGGGTGTGGCTGTGGACTCTCGGGCCTGAACTTTCTCCTTTCGCGTGTGTTGGGAGGTCTCAGAAGCATTTCTTCACTCTTGCAGGACTGACCTCAGCGTTCTGTTCTGCCAGAAAGTTCTGGCATGTGGATTTTCCTCCCCCTTTTGTGATACATATCCCAGTCCCACCCAATTTTTAAATGACATGGAGTCATCCTATTTGCAAGTCAGAGAAAACAGACACAAAGTCGGGGTGCTACCAGAGCGCATACCTGGCCGGTTTGTCTCTGGGTGGTTTGAAGGCTGAGGTCATGCCGGTTGAGTCTCTTGAGCTGAGCAGCTGGAGGCCTTTGCCACAGAGACTGCGTGTGGCCTGAGGTGCTTTGGAAAACTGCCCAGGCAGTGACAGAGAGCGATTAGGAGCGATATTAGTGTGCTTGATCTCTGGCCCTGTGGATGGGCTTGGATACGCTTGAAATTTCACGTCGAGTGATTATTTCATAACTTTTACTGGGGAGCTTTCGCTGACCTAGTCTTAGTGAAATGCTGCACAAACAGTGGACTGTGTCCAGTTCTTTAGAGATAATTTACATAGAATTTCTTGCTTGGTTTTCATCTGGCGAACGCTTGAGGACTGGGAGGCTTCCTCAGGAAATTCTGTGTCTCGGGAGTACCAGTCATTGCCGCCACCTCGGGGTGACCTCCTCGCTGCTAAGCCAGTTCCTCCCTGTACCTGGGAGGTGTGTGCACCGCTCCGTTTACAGAGCAGGAAGTGGGGGCTCAGAACGGCCAGGTGTCCCACTGGCGGGCTGGGACTTGGGCCCCGTTCCCTCGGCAGCCGCCCCACCTCTGCCTCTGACTGACTGCGTTTCTGGTGCCTTACAGCCGGGTGCAGGCAGGTGCAGGACCTGGAGCTCCCCTCCGTGGAGGTGGACCCCTGTGGCGACGCTCAGGCAGCTGCGGAGGGAGCGGTGCTCGGCCTCTATGAGTACGATGACCTCAAGCAGAAGAAGAAGGTGGTCGTGTCGCCCAAGCTCTATGGAAGGTGATGTCACTGGAGTGGGGTCAGGGTGGCCCCGGCGTCAGGACCACGGGGCCTTCTGGAAATGAGCGGCTGGCTTTCCCGCATGGGGCCCCGCCACCGGCTTGTCTCAACTCCCCAGCACCTTAGCTACCTGAAGAGCCCGATCACTGTCCCCACGGCCCCACCTTCTGCTCCCAGTGTGCTTCAAGTGCTTGCTTCTGCCAAGACTTTCTAGGGACCCCCATGTTTGCTGATCACTGGGAGCCCTAAAAAGCTGGCTCCCTGAAGAAAGGTGGGATGACTGAGAGGCATCTTCAGGGAGCTTTGTTCCCGACAGGCCTTGTTCCCTTTAGCCAGCCTCGGCTCAGGCCAGGGAGGCGCCGATGAAGGCACTGCCTGCTCCTTCTCCTTCCGCACCGGCCGCAGGCCAGCCCCATCTGGGTGCTGGGAAACAGGCCCCTGTGCTCTGGACACACAGTGTGATACTGGCCACCCCCTATGGCCAGCAGCTGAAAGTGGGGTGCTGCTACCTGTCCAGCCAGCTCTGGCTCCCCCACTTAGAGGCAGGGCACCCTCAGTGAAGTGATGAAGTCTGTGGATTTCATCTGTGGCAGTATAACCGCAGCCTCGTGAGGTCTCTGAGGCTAAGACAGCCTGGCAGGCGCCTGGCAAACCTGGAGGTGTCACTGCACGCAGCACAGCGTGACTGGTCTGACTTTCCCTGTGCTCTCTCCCCAGCGGGGATCAGGAAGCCTGGAGGAAGGGCGTCCTCTTCGCCTCTGGGCAGAACTTGGCCCGCCAGCTCATGGAATCTCCGGCCAACGAGATGACGCCGACCAAGTTTGCCAGAATTATTGAGGAGAAGCTTAAAAGCGCCAGTAGCAAGACAGAGGTGCACATCAGGTAATCCGGGCTGATGTACTAGACTCGCAGGTGAGACCTGGGAGAGGAGCCCGGGTTCCGGAAGCAGCCTCTCAGTGTCCACAGGAGGTTGTGCGTGGCGGCCCACAGGCTGTTCCCGGTTCCGTCCGCCGCGTCTCCCCTGCCATGGACACTCTGTGGCCTGTGTGCTGTGTGCGTGGTGTGCGTGCGTGTGGACACAGTGTGGCAGCACCCACGTCCAGAGCAGCTCGGTGACGTCTGAGACCCTCACGCCGGCTTGCTCCCATCCCACCGTGGGTTGCCTCTGACCTTTGGAGACCCCGAGTCTTGCTCATTCTTGCTGCTGTGAGCGTCGGCACAAGCATGTGTGGAAACTGTTTTCATCACCGTCAGGTGTGACCTAGGAGTTGGCTTGTCAGGTCAAACGGTAACTTCCGTTAACTTCCCGAGCAGCTGACTTGTGGGGTTTTGGCCTTTTCCCTGACGCACGTGAAGAGCATCGCACGCCCGACTGGGCAAGGCGTGAGACGCTCCGCCTCAAGGGTCCCCAGGCAGTCCAGAGGTGCCGCCAGCAGCAAGGCTGGGGGGCCTGAAGGCTTGTGCCATCTCGGCATCTCCCCATCACCCGAAAGCAAGCCATGCCAGAGCCCTTGGGAAGTTAGGATCAAGTCAGCAGCGGCCGGTGGGATCTGGGGGATGGTCAGCACATGGGCTCTAAAGGTGTCCTGACAGAAACCCTTGTTTTTTAGAGGAGACATCAGAGCTACTTTGGGTCACCCAAAACAGTGGCTGTGTGGTTACACAGCAGCGACTGAGGGCCTGTGCTGGGGTGGGGCAGAAGCGGCAGGGAAGTGCCCCTTGGGGAGAATCCGGGAAGGGGGCGTCCCAGCATCTGGGAGTTTGCTGAGTTGAGAGAGAAGGGAGTGGGTGCAGAGCCCAGCCGCGACCCCAGGGAATCTGCAGGGCTGTGTGGGAGCAGAGGGACGTGAGCCAGAGCCCCCAGGTCAGCGGACTGGGTGTCGCCTGTCTGGCCGGGGCAGCGCCCCAAACCTGCTCTCGCGTAGGTGGGCGTCTGACACCCACGCGCCTGCAGGCAGACAGGGCCTCTGTCATTAACAGAGCACGCTCCACCGCCAGCCTTCTTCTGAAGTGTCCCTTTGTTCCAGTCTCCATACCTTCCTCCCTGTGAAGTCGGCGGCCACGTCTCAGCCCAGCTGACAGCTGTCGCACAAGCCTGGCTGGCGGCAAGGGGGCGAGGGACCCTTGCTCCTGGCTGTTGCTGGGGCCTCGGTCAGAACTTCTCTCTGGGCCTGTCGCTGGGAAGAAATCAATGCTGAGCCCCTGAGACCCCAGCCCAGAGGAGCAGGACACGGCGTGGGTTTGTGCTGGCGCTGAGGGCCTCACCCACTGGCACCGCCCACTGAGCCTGCACTTACAAGTCGCAGCTGGTTTTCCCACCTCAGTCAGACATCTCACACCGCGGCTGAAATCGGAGACCAGTGCAGCCAGAGACAGAGAGAGAGAGAGACAATTCTACAAAAGCAAAATAATGGCATATGTTAGGCGTGGAGCGTTGTCAGCCCTTTTGTTTGTTGGCTAATTAGTTTCTGTGTGTGTGTGTGTGTGTGTGTGTGTGTGTGAGAGAGAGAGAGAGAGAGAGAGAGAGAGAGAGAGATTTACACATACCAAAAATATAGCAGGGGATCCCTTGCCTATTTTTAAGCGCCTGTTAGCATCGTCTTTAAAACTCTGATGCATGTTACTAGGTCGGGGAACATCAGGGAGCTGTGACTTACTGGCCTACTCCTGACACTGTTCTGCGCAGGCACACGGTCTCTTGGTGGCTCTGTGGCTCGTCTTCTGACGGAGGGGTCACTGACCTCCTTCACAGAGGAGGAAGGGGGCTCGCAGTGCAGTGAGGGCCCAGGAAAACACAGAAAGGAAGCTGAACCCTCACGACATAAGTGAACACTAGCACCTGTGCATGTTCTAAAGCGCCTGCATGTGAATACTTCTTACTCACAAATGAGCTTCTTTCTCAGCTATTTTGAAACGAAGTGCATTTACTTTTTGCCCCTTCCTCTGCTCTCCAGGCCCAAGCCTTGGATCCAGGAACAGGAGATGGGGTCGTTCCTCAGTGTGGCCAAGGGATCCGATGAGGACCCAGTCTTCTTGGAAATCCACTACCGAGGCAGTGCCAACGCCAGTGAGCCGCCTCTGGTGTTTGTGGGGAAGGGCATCACCTTCGACAGGTACCTCGCAGCGCTGCGCTCTGTACTGGGGAGGCTTTGTGTGGAGTTTGTCCCCAGGGCTTGGCATTCGGTCAGATCTCGTCGGTTGCTTTAACAGTATTAAGTTGCCACGATACTTCCTGTGCATGAGGCCCCAGAAGGCATCTGCCATCCACTGGCTCTCTGAGCAGCTGGTCCTAAGGACCATGACGAGGGAGCAAAGTTACATGGTCAGAGCCCCATAACTGACAGAACTCGCCTGTCTTCCCACCCTGTTCTCCTGTGTGGACATAGGAGGATCCTCACAGGGAGGCTCTTGTTAGCAACCCACTGCTTGCCTCAGATGACTGTTTTGTGTTTATCTGACCCACACAGCTAAACACATAAAATCACAAGTATTCCTTAGAACTAGAGATTATCTCTCGTTCAACAAGTTGAAGCTGAGTGGGGAAAATGACAGGTCAGTCTGTCGGGAAGGAAACATTCGCCCCTGAACTCTGGCTTCAGGGATGCTAAGTAATCGTGAGCATCCAGGATGACTGGATACAAGAACTAGCGTAGGTCAAACAGGTGACGTTTTTTGTTCATTTGAAACCGGAAGCATCTGTAAGTCTTTGTGTGGCCACAGCGTTATCTTTCTCTTGGGTAAATACCTAGAGAAGTGGCGCGTACGTCATACAGTAACGGCTTATTTAACTTCATAAGAAAGCACCAGAGTTTTCGGAAGTGGGGGCGCCGTTTTGCACCCCGCTGCTCTCCACGCTGCCCAGCTGCTGTGGTCTCTGAGCCGCTCCCATGAGTATAAATGGCGGCGTCTCGAGGGCTCCTTCGCATTTCTCTAGTGCCTGAGGTAGTTGGCATTGTTCAAATGTGTTTGCTCAAGAGACCGACTGTGTAGGCCTGCAGGAGCGGAAGCTGCCTGGGGACAGACATGGCAGTGACTAGAACAGACTCCAGACCAGCTCCCTCCCTCCTGGGGGTCAGCCCTGGATTTCTTGGGCCAAGGGAGTTTTCTTTCCTTATTCGGAGCCAGTGTATGGTACCTGTTAGTTCTGGGTGCCACGGTTATCGGGTGTCCCTGTGGTGAGTGAGAACTCATGGAAAAGAACTTACTCTTTGTCTTTCAGGGGTGTGTGGTATCCTCTTTCACAATGTGGAAAAAGCTCACATTCGAGTTTAGAGACTTGATTTTTCTTAGGCGGGTGGTGCTCTCTAGCCCTCGGGTTAGGTAAGAACGGGGTTCTGGCCACGTGCTTGTGATTAATGCTGCACCCGTCCTCTCCCGCAGCGGCGGCATCTCCATCAAGGCTGCCGCGAGCATGGACCTCATGAGGGCCGACATGGGAGGCGCAGCCACCATATGCTCGGCCATCGTGTCCGCTGCCCAGCTCGACCTGCCTGTCAACCTCATAGGTGAGGGGGTTACTCTGGCGTCGCGCCCAGTGGTAGAATGGAGACCACAGGCCTGGCTTCCTGTCAGCGGAGAGCAGCTGTG